AAAGCAAACAAATGGATCATCAAACCAACCAACCCAGAGTTCTCACTCGAGACACAAATGACCAGGCTCAATTTATCCTACTTTGGATATATTATGTGAAGACCTACCTCTCTGGAGAAGGTTCTGATCCTGGGAAAGGTGGGAGGAAAGAGAAGAGAAAGACCAACAGCAAAGTGAATGGATTGTTATAGTGGTGATAGGTGCACCATGGGAAGATTTGAAAGACCAGGTTAGGGACAGATCCTCATGGAGAAAAATCTATCTATGTGGTTGCTAAGAGTCAATGACTTTATGGCACATAATCAATAAATCAATTGAACTAAAAAAGTGTGTAATTTGAACCTGACAGAAAATAATTTGTTCTGATCAGGAAGCATGAAGTTAGACAAAGCTATGATAGGTAACATTAGTACAAGAGAGTTCTGAGAAATTTTTAAAGCTTGCCTAACCATGAAGTGTCCAAATACTAATTGGCAACCTTTGAATGTAAATTCCATTTAATTTCCTTTTTAAATTATTTCCTAAAAGGGAAGCTGGATCTGAAAATTGAGCTATTGTGGTCTGTTCTTGGAATACTATTCTTCTTAAAAAAGACTGTTGCTTTACTTAACATTCTACTGCTTCTCATACCATCACACTCCCCCCCACCCCCGAGAACAATTATACTGTTTTGCCTTCCTCAAAGCACACTGGCCTCATTTAATACGTCTTTAATGCTAGAGCACTTTCATACAAGCAATGAACTACTTGTTAAAGTTTGTAATCTATACATTCATATTGGCTAGGTGTGAGTATACTGCATGATAGGAATCCAAAACTATTCAATGCAAGGTCATTGATTAAACTATGTACTCAATCCTTGAAGAACTTGCAGAGATACTTTTTGTATTAGATATAATAAAATGAATATGGGACAAAGATTTTTATTACTCCTTATATTTTGAACAATTCATTCTAAGTAAGTTATAATCTTGTCCAATGCTACTATAGATGTGTGTATGTCTGTGTGTGTATGCTTTCTTCATAAGGATAAGGAGCTGCAGTTTCAAAGTATCCAGTGGTTTGAGTGCTATGCCAGCAAATCCTTTAATACTCTACAAGATTCATGTACCATTATAAAAAAGAGCTTTTGAAGTATACTCATAGTTGCTTATGTGGAAAGAAGATTGACACAAATCTTAGCCACACTGAACTCCTTTCTCTATTATACTAATTAGCCTCTAAAAGTAATTATGAAATTTCTATTTATGGCAGTGTTGAGAACTTAATGTTTGGCATTACCATATGCCCATAAAATTTGTAGACAATACTTCTCAGCATTTATCAGTGATTTAACAGATGAATGAGCTACTCATCTAATCCTAATAGAATTAAAAGGCCACAATATTAATATTTACTCATTTCTGCATATGAAAAATAAAAATTGTACATAATTCTAGTTATGCCACAAGTTCAAGGCAGCCACTTACAAGCCCTGGGGGTCAAACACTAAGCACAAATAATGCGTATTATGCAGTTGTTTAGAAGACTACCCACCCTTCACTTAGACTATGACAAACCAAAAAAGTTGATTGTGTATTCCTTTATTGGATAAGGTATATTACAACAGACAAACATATTACACATGCTGTACAAAATATACATTCTGATATGTGAGAAAATATAAATAGTTACAAGGAAAGAACAGCTATAAGAAAACATTGGTTTGCACTGCCCTGGATATTTACAGCTATAATTACTTTGGCATTGGCAAAAAAGTATCAGTAATTTTCCTCCCTGCAAACTGCAAAAAAAGGTCTTTTAAAAAACACACATAAGTGAAGCATGTTTCAAAATTGCTTAAGTCTAATCCCAGACACAATCCCTTATAGATTTTGTTTTCAGAATAGGAGAAAGTATTTGCCTGCTAAGAAGTCATTTCCCCAAAATATACCTTAGAGAAGCTATGTTTAAATTCTTTGCTCTACAATTTATTCTCTTTTAGACACCCTTGCGCTCATAAATATCCTCAATACTTTATTCATTCCAGAGTTCCAGCCTGACTGCTGAACTCCATCCTAGCTCCAAAGTTGTCTGAACTGTCTTACATAAAAATATACAGGTAGTCCTCATTTAGTGACTGTCTTGTTTAGCCACTGTTCGCAGTTACAAAGGTGATGAAAAAGTAACTTTATGACCATTCCTCACATTTACAAGTTTCACAGGTCTGTAAAGCAAAGGAAAGCTGAAGTAAGATCATAAGCAGAGACAGTTTCACTTAGCGACCGGTTCACTTAACGATGGAGTTGCCAGTTCCAATTGTAGTCGCTAAATGGAGACTACTTGTATCTAACAAGGAAGTTCGGATTTACCAAATTTGTCTCTCTGCAGCAATGCTTTTGAATTTCCAGTGTGAACAGTAAAATATTATGAGATATACAATGTGTCATTTACAAGCTGGAGTATATACAAAGATGGAATGAAATTCTGCTCTTAGACGCTTTTCCAGTTTTGGCATAATAGA